AGCATAAAAAAAATCTTCTCTGTATTTCATTACTTGGAGAATATTGCCAGGGGACCCCCAACTCCTCACTGATGTTTCTTTGTTTGTTTACAGGAAATTTTGATTGGGTGGGGAATGATTTTACCCACAACGCTGGCACCGGCCTTGTTATCAACCAGGCAGACGTGAGGAACAACCGGAGCATTATAAAACAACTTAAAGATGTGTTTGAAAGGGACTGGTACTCACCTTACGCCAAAACCTTACAGCCAACCAAACAGCCGAACTGCTCAAGCCTGTTCAAACTCAACCCCCCCTCAAACAAAACTGCCACGTACTACAATGCCAGCGAGAAGGAACCCTGGAGTGTATAATGTGAACAAGAGGACGGACAGCTCCATCTTTCATATTTATACATAAAGGAAGAGAGAAAACCAATTTAATAATGTCTTTTTTTAGGGAAAAAAAGCACACTTACAAAACTATTCTCTGGATGACATATAATATCTATCTAACCATATCTTAGCGTCCTGCGTACTGAAATTAAGACTTTTGTATTTGTTACTTCTGACAGAGAATGTCATTCCGGCTTAGAAGTTAGTTTTTACGTTTGCTTACAAATTTTCAGAGTTGGATTCCTGTTCTTTTCTAGTTTTAGGAATTTTTCTGCTGACCCGCCTGGTCAGTTCTTAGGAAGCTTAGCATGAGGTGAGCTCTGTAACACCATGCTGAGAACTGCTGATTTAGAAAGGAAGGTGAAGATTCTTGCCTTGGAGAAGAGACTGGTAAACCAAGTATTTATCCTTGTAAACTATCTCCAAGACCTATACAGGCATCTCAGCATAACCAGCTTACATCTCATGCCTTTAACACTCTTGAAAAATACCCTTTGCAATACCATAGACTTCATTATGTATCATTTTCTCTTCTCATAAAGTGTTCCTATGATACAGCGTCACTATGTCAACCCCAGCATTAGTGCTAAGTATGACAACATCTTTTGAAAAGGTAGAAATTTCTCCGAATGGAAACAGCAATCTTTAATTTTCATCTTCCCCCCCACATCTTTTCCCCGCACCGAACTGGTGTTTTAAATCACGGTCAGCAATATGGCGCCTTTCTCTCAAGCTCAGAGAAATTACGTAGCTACCTGCTAATATCCAGCGAGCTATGAAGTCTGCATTTTGAGACTTGAAGTAGTTTTTCACATTTTTGTTTGGTTTATGGTGTTCTAAAGGAAAGATCTCCATGCGTCAGTGGATTTTAATTTCTCTAGAATCATGCTATTAAGAGTATGCCAGCAAACGTTTATAGAGCTATTTAATATACCTTCTGCTATTTAATATACCAAATGCTTTTCAGAGAAATGCAATTTAAATACTGTGCTTAACATATTTTACTAAGAAACAGAAATATTGAATTATTGTTCTATGACATTATTGTGTGTTGTTTTATATCTATACAATATATAATCCTGTATTAATAGAGACTGTTGCTACCTTAGAGAGAAGCATGGGCTCTTCGGAGCCCAGAGCAGGTGGCCAGGATGCCCAAGTTCCAATGTTGCTCCTGACTCTGTGGCTCAGACCAGAGGTTTTCACTCCCTGGCCTGGGGTTTCTCTTGGTAACGTAGACATTAATACTTACCTACCTCGCAAGAATGTTGTCATGGTAGGAAATATTTATAACTTGTTTTGAAATCAAAAGAACCTATATAAATGCTAAGCATTACAACACGGTGTATGTAATCTTTTTCGTGACTGATCTGTGTGGTATTCTGATAGACTCACATCACGTCCTCCCTGAGAACCCAGAAGAGAAAACAAAACCCACAGCTTTTGATGAAAGATGAAATGTGGATGAAAAGAATCCAATACAGAAACTCTGGGAAGACCTGGATTATCAACAACCCAATGGAAGGTTCTCTTGGGTCACTTTGGCGTAAATAACATCAACCCCAATATACATGTTTTTACAGTAAAGACAATTTCGATTATTCTTTTTCATTTCTAGAGACTTGATTTCTGATATCCCAGATAGCATGATAGAGAAACCAGTGAATCTTATTCAGTGGATTTACTTAATGTAGAACAGCTATTGTTCTGGGGGGGGTTGTTGTTGTTGTTTGTTTATTTTTGCAGTTTTTGGCCAGGGCTGGGTTTGAACCCACCACCTCCAGCATATTCCAGCACATGGGGGCTGTGCCCTATTCCTTTGAGCCACGGTCGCCACCCTAGAACAGCTATCATTGGTCACCTAGTGATCACATCACTTCCCTCCTTATTGATTCCAATTACTGCTTCACTAGATATATTGCCATTTGGTCAGAGAGTGGGAAGGGAGGTGTGTTTTTAAAGGTAGTATTTTTATTATGGATTGGAGAATTCTCAATCAAATTCTTTATCAATAATGGCCAAGCTATTAAGACAAAATATTTACCATATAATCAATCCTTGTTTGAGCTGGGACTTAATCCTGCCTCTTGTTCTAGTAAAGTAGACATTGTTTGGGTGATGATAAAAATTAAAAAAAAAAAAAAAAGAAGTGGGCGGTGCCTGTGGTGCAAAGGAGTCGGGTGCTGGCCCCATATGCCGGAGGTGGCGGGTTCAAACCTAGCCCCGGCCAAAAACTGGAAAAAAAAAAAGAAAAGGAAGAAGAAAAAGAAAAGAAAGCATAGGAATGCTGCCCAACAAACCTCCTAAGTTCACTCTTGGATAAATAAAAGCAACCTGGGTTGGATTTTAAAGAGAAAAACTAAAGGGAGAGAAACATGTTTGTGTCCTTGTTAGGTCTCGAGTTTCCTCTAGAACAGTGGTTCTCAACCTTCCTAATGTCGCAAATCTTTAATACAGTCCAAAGGGGTCACGACCCACAGATTGAGAACTGCTGCTCTATTTGTCCACAGCTATGGCACAAGCGTCAGCTCGGTGTAATGGGCCCCTTCACTGTCACGGTCTTGTGCATGTGATAATGAGAATGCCATCCTTGGTGGAATGGCCACTGTTGGCATTTCCTTCTGAGCCCCATCAAAATGGTAGCACCAGGAGCCAAGTCCCAGAGTTTTCTGCCACGCACAGGCAGCAGCAGAGCTCTACTGGACACTGAAAGTTACCTCATCAGACTAGTCTGAGCAGCAGTGTTGACTCCTTGAGGCAACACTGTCCTTCTGTTGCAATCAAAAATGACTTCTCAGTGCAGAGAACGTCCTAAAAGATCCATTTCCTAAGAGAACACTTCATTCTCCAGAGCTTTCTCTTACACGTGGACATCTTATGTACCTTCTAGAGGTGGCTGCCTTCTCTTTTAGACTTTTGTCTGTACTAAACAGACTACCTACATGCATCCTCCCAGCCCCAAATAGCCTGGGAATTATTTTCTTAGGAGGAAAAGAACACAAAATAGAAACACTTGAATTTGAGCCTGTCTGATGAATGTCCATGATAGAAACTATGAAGAGGATGCTGACTACTTGCCTCTGTTTATTCCCCATAAAGATTCCAGAAATTATTTCCACAGAAGCAAAAAAGGAAAACAAACACAATTCGAGACTATAGCTTGGATGTCTGTGCTGCTAACACTAACCTAGTGCCTTCTTTATTGTCAAGTGTTGATTTTATTATTTTTTTATTTATTTTCTTTTTTTGAGACAGTCTATGTCGCCCAGGCTAAAGTGCCATGGCATCACAGATCACAGCAACCTCAAACTCTTGGACTTAAGCAATTCTCTGCCTCAGCCTCCCAAGTAGCTAGGACTACAGGTACCCATAATAATGCCTGGCTACTTTTTGTTGCAGTTGTTGTTGTTTAGCTGGCCCAGGCTGGGTTTGAACCTGCCACCCTCGGTGTATGTGGCTGGAGCCGTAACCACTGTGCTACGGGCACCAAGCCAAGTGTTGATTTTAACTAGCAGTTCACTACATGAGAACACTTCTGCTTCCTGTGGACCTTCTAATGGGCCTCCCCAATTTAAAACATGCACACAAGCATCTATAGTTTATGTACAGCCCACTCTCTTCCCAAGACACATCACTTTTATCACCCCCAAATCAGATTAGTAATACACACTGTCGAATATCAACATCATTGGTCTCCCCTACATTTTCATTGGCTCCTAGTATATCAAATAATTGGATCACAGCTTATTACACCACTGGAAGGGAAGTGGAACATTCTGAGATCGTATCTATGTTCTATATCTGTGCTTCAGGTACCTTAAAATGGTAGAAGCAAGACACGTTAAAAATGTTAGAATCTTGTAAACAGATGCTTCACAGACTTCCAAGGTCCTTTGGAACATAGAATGAAAACTAGTGTCTAAAAAGTCAACGCAGACTCAGTTAAACAAAGAAAAGACCTGTGGAAAGACTTTGGATCCGGGGAACCCTGGGCTCCACTTCTCCTGTTGGGTTGTGTCTGTGCAATCATTTGTCTCATATCTGATTCTACTTTAAGTGAGCTGGGTGATCACAATTTTGGTCGATCCTACCCTTTAAAAAGTGTGTTTTGTTAATTGCAGTTACTGGTTTGTTAAAAGTGCCTCGATGAACATGAGACCAACAGAAGCTCATTTCCTACCAGCCTGTGTCTATTCTCAAGTTGACCTCAATTCATTATGAGTTTTTTGTTTGTTTTTAGAAACTTTTATTGAGCTCTATTCCAGAGGGGGAAAAAGACTGCAAGAATTTCTTGATAAGATTAGATCCAAGGTCCATCTGTCTCAGCAATTCTACCCTAAATCTGCCTCCTCCCCATAGGTGTGGCCATTGGTGTGTGTTTCTCTGCCTGAAATTTATTCCATGATTTTCAGCATTTAAGGAATGTAAAAAGCTGCCATTATTTCCAATAGAGCAGTCATCTCCTGTAATGAAAGCTACTTTGCTATTGGTTATTCAAATTCAGTCCCTTGTAAACAGCTCCTATATTGCTAATAAATGTTTCATTCTTTTTTCCCCTGTGTTTATTCCCAGTAAACAGTTTATGATAAGCCCTTCAAAGGAAAAATGAATATAACTTCCGTTTGGCCCAAGGTGAATTGGATCAATTACCCCATTTTCAACATTTTCCCATTTGGTATGAATCAGCATCTTTTCCTTTTCTATCTATGTGTTGTTAACAATATAACTGCTTACTATTTTTTATTGACTGAAATTGGTGGAGGTTTTCTTTTCTTTTCTTTTTTTTTTTT